GAGAGGCCGGTGCAAGAGGTTGTGTAGAGGGCATTGGAAAGAGCTCAAGAGTAACGACCAGATGGGATGGACGAGGAGTTTGAATGGAAATCCAGCGAGGCTACTAGTGAGGTGAAAAGTGGATACGAGAGATGGAGTTCTGGAAATCAGTATTTTTGGCAAGAGAAATGTTTCCCTCCTGCCAGGCGTCTGAATCTCTTCCTGCTGAGAGAAAGCTCTTTCTCTCTTCCTCGCTCACACACAAGGCAAGACGAAGCACACACGTCTACTTCAAGCACAACAACAAATGACAACATGCATAGACTAAACACACATACATCACCATCTCCTCTGACAGATTCACACACACACACACCTGAACTCTCCATTTCACACACCTGACAGTTTACAAGACCGAAGAGAGAATAATGACATCACGTTTTCCTGCCTCGTGTGAATTTATACCAGAGAGCTGTGTCGTCTGATGAAACCTGAACAGAGTGAGAGAGAGAGATGGTGGTGGAGGAGGGGAAGGGAGGAAAAAGGGTGTGTTAGGTTGTGATAAACAGAGAGAGGAAATCAGAGAGTGTGAGAGATGAGGAAGAAGGTGTGTGTGGTGTGAGTTCAATCAAAGTAAAAACAGAGTGAATTTGTATGTATGTAAATGGATGAGTTTTGAGCTGAGCTTGGCTGTGTGTGTGAGGCAGTGGCGATAATTCCCACAATAAATAAACCTCAGCCAATTAGTCTCTGATAAGCAGCGATGCTTGGCAACCCTAATTCCACCTTTGGGGAGTGCCAATTTAGCTTCATTGGATGCAGTTGTATGAAAGCCGGGCTGAAGGCAATCGGATGCATGGATGATGGTGGAAACCAACAGCAACAGACAGTGTTGTGTTTACAAGGATGGTGAAACAATAAGAGACCAGATATGAAAACTGAAGACTGGTCTGGGAGAATGGGAGAATACACAGCAACAAATAAATGCACTTTCAAAAAGGGTGAAGGGAGTGTTTGTGCACCAGGGTTTGAATAGAGAATAGCAGAAAGATTATAAAAAACACAGCAAGACAGTGACACATGAGAACAAACAGATGGTTAGCTATACAAGGCGAGGCAGATGAAAAGATGGAGCAGAAAGGGGGCGATTAGCAGAGGTGTGATCACAAGGTTATTTCCAAACATTAAAGCGAGCTGAACTTCTCAAGGTTGGGAAAACAAAACCAACATCAGAGACTGGAACTCAATAAAACTGCAAATTAAGTTTCTCTCCTGCTTTGAAGTTGTAGGTGAAATCAAACATTGGGGCGGTTGAGAAATAAATGAGAACCAAAGTTCACTGGGTAATTTGTAACAGCTAGAGAGGTTGAATACTAATAGAAGGATGAACCACAACCTTGAATTCGTTTAGTTTTTTTTAGAAAGAACTACAATTTGCAGTTATTCCCAAGGATAGCTTTTACTTGACATTTAAATTGAATATGCTTTAGGTCTTTCATTTTCTTTGCTCTCGCAGTTAAGTAAAGAAAAAAACATGTCTCTACTGTAAATGTAATATTTGTAGGTGCTAACAATAGCCTAAATAACATAGCATGCAGTAAGTAATAAATGTAAGAAAAAAGGAACTCAGCTACACAACTGTATTGTAAATGCAGCTGAACTAAGGATGATATGAATATGCTTTGCTTTCTTTACCTTTAAGTTGCATCTTATCTTAAATACTTTATCGGATATACTTTCAGTTCTTCCTTGTATTGTGTACTGTAGCGTTTTAGGCTTAATCAGTTGAAGGCATTCAAAAATAAACATGTATCAACCTATAAAGTGTGAGTGATGAAATGCTACATCCTTGGATTATATTGTGCACAGTCTCAGATCTCAGCCATAACTAGAGAAAAGGTTTTTGTTTATTGTGATAGCTTTGCCCGCGAGAATGCACACTAATGGAGTTGAACCAATAAAAGATAAGAAGGGTCTCAAACTACTGTAAAAATACTTTCCCCCAATATTTTCTAGCACAATGTCAACATCACATCTCTGGTGTATTATCGTCATGAACACAGAGGACTAAATGCATTCAGGAGCTGTTACACAAAACCTCGAGATCGATGGAAGATTCTCCATCTTAAGAACTTTGACACGCTGCGACTATGTCTGCCTGAATGGTGTCCCGTTGCTGGGTCGGCCTGCAGCGTACCTGCGGGTGAAGAAAGTGACAGAAGGAGGGGAGGGGGGGGGTGTGTGTGTGTGTGTGTGTGTGTGTGTGTGTGTGTGTGTGTGTGTGTGTCAACAGTCGGGCCAATCGGTCAGGATGCCGGGCGTCCTGCTATCAGCCTGACCGACTGCAGAGTATTTTTAGAGTGATTTAGAGGTCCCTGTCTATAGTGGTAATAACACTGCAGCTCCTGCGTGGAGCCAGACTCTGCTTTTCAATGGACTCAAAGATAAGGAGGGATAGTGGGGAGGCTCAGGAACTCTAGCAGGACACACTGCTGGTGATATGAAATTGAGAAGGATTTGGGGCAGTGCCACTGACTTTGGCCACTGACGTGTTATAAATGCTCATTGAAGCCAAACAAATAGAGCTAACAGCAGGAGAGTTAGAAAATCATGCTGAATTATTTTACAATTCAAGGAAGAGATTTACTTATTTTTCTTAAAGATGTTTTGTCTGGGTTTGTGTTAAAACGCAAATTCTAATCCAACTGTTTATGATATAAGAATTAAAACACAAAGGTTTTTTGTCAGTCTATGATGCAATGATACCCACATTTTGCTTAAAAGTATAACAACAATCATCTAAGTAGAATAAAGACAATATAATAAATGATTAGCATAAATCCTAGTATTTAATAACAATACCGTTTGCCTGCCTCGAGCACTGAAATGAATTCTGAATCGAATACGTAGCATTACAAGGTGCTTGCCGAGCTATCAGCTAGCTAACGGTGCTAAAAGTGCAAAGAACTCCAACAGTGGGGACATGATGTGAAAAGGTCCCTTTAGCTGGCTGGTGTAGCGCAACACTGGTATTGTTCTTGCAAAAGGTTAAAACTGATCTTAAATGATTTAGTTATGATCATTTTAGGTAACATTCCTGATTGTCACAACAGCTGCAGTAAAAACAAGATAATATCTTTATTTAATGATTGATTTTGTTAGCAAGACTCTTCATATATAATGGTAATTTGGGGATTAAGTGGTATTCTCTTCAGCAGGAGCCTTATTCAGAGCCATCCTTTAAGAGCTTTTGGGCACCAACCCAACTAAAGGAAAGTAGAAAAAAGTATGGATTAAAAATAAACTGGCCAGGCCAAAGGACAAGGACTCACTGACCTGTGTGTTCCCCGTTTGTAATTACAATTCTTAAATCCCCTACCACAAGGACATGCGATACTGACGATACATTCAAACCCTGTATTTTTTTTAAAAGCACAAAATAAACAACTGTGTATTATCAGGAGATCACAGCCTCAAACTGGAGCCAGGGAGTTAGCTGTGATCATTTAAAATGATGAATTAATAGTGGAAAAGCCGCAGTGATAAGAACCAACACTTGATCAATTGCAACCTTTTTAAAAAGGCAATAAGTTGCATTATATTTCTTCGGTGCACATAATAGCTGATATAGTTGAAGGGGTTTATGGGGCGATTGATCAATAGTAGAGAAACAACAGTTCCTGTATTTAGCCAACAATGCAACTGGGGTAATTCTCCATCGTATTGACAGAGAGCTGTGTTGGTATCAGGGTTTCCGTTAGCCGGTAATTACCGTTTTTTTAGCTGGTAAAATGTATTAAAAACCGGTAAATTCAAAACCTGCCGGTCAAAAATGTCTGGTAATAATTAGGGTTGCTCCGATCGATTGGCCGCCGGTCATTATCGGCCGATATTTACTCTTAATAGTTTGATCTGTGCTCTCTATAAATGCCGATCAGGAGAGCTGGGTCTGATCGATATGGACATAAACGCGAGTGAAGTATAACCGGACGCGAGAGAGAGAGAGAGAGAGATCAGATCAGCTGCTGCATAATCACCTGAAGCCCCGCCCACTGTTTAGCGCGCTACATGAGAAACTGACGGGCTGTCAGGAGAGAGGAGAGAGAGAGAGAGTCTGACAGAGACACGCAGCTCTGCATGATCACCTGAAGCTCCGCCCACTGTTTAGCGAGCTGCATGAGAAACTGACGGGCTGTCGGGAGAGAGGGGGAGGGAGAGAGGAAAAGAGTGGATCCGTTTCT